TTGCTACTGGTTTCGTTTCATCTAATATATATATGAATAACATTTGACTATATTTATGCTCTTGCTTTCCCTCTTTCACTGGGATATCAATACCTACACCCCACACTCCACACTCGTAATCAGTTTCCACTTACAATAGCATCATCTGCACAGAAAAAGCCAGTGCGAACAGCGTGTAAACTTCCCTTCTGCCTCAGGTACATTATCGAGATGAAGGACGCCATCAACGACCTCGCCAACAAGTTCATGGAGACACTAGATATCAGAGAGCGCCGGTTGTACGACTTGGTCTACAAGAGCGCCAAGGGCATCAACGACGCCCTCCGCACCATATGCGTCTTGAGGAAGGACATGGAGGAGGCCCGCGATCTCATGAAGGGCGTGAAGAAGGTGGACGGCATCGCCCCGACGACCAGACTCTCCGAAGCCGCCAAGTTCTTGGGTCTCAAGTGGAACCTCCACGACGCCAAGCTGGGTCTGGGGCCCGCGTCGCTCAAGAAGGCTCAGAGCGAGAAGGAGGCCGAAGCGCAGAAGGAGGCCGAGAAAAAGCAGGATTCTCCAGAAGAGAAAGAGGAAGACAAGGGAAAGGAAGAAACCGAGAAGGAAGACAAAGAGAAGGAAGACGATGACAAAACGAAACAAGCAAAGGACGGCGAGAACAACGACAAAGAGGACGACGATGATGAGGATGAGGAAAGCACAGACGAGAGCGAAGAAGAGGTGCTGACGGAGGAAGAGATCAAGAAGCGCCAAAAGATCCTCAAGGTCAAGGAAAGAATAGCCGCCGCCGCTGCTGCCGCGGCCGCCGAGAAGGAGCTCAAGGAGAAGAAGATGATGGAGAAGGAGCGGAAGGCGGTGAAGGAGAAGAACAACGCCAACCCCGAGCCCGAGCAGGTGCCGTCGCCCAAGCTCCTGAAGTCGTGGAAGAAGAGGTCCGCCGTCGCCACCGTGTCCCGAGAGCCGTCCATTACCCCCGAGAGAGAGCTGCAGAAGAAAGAGAAATCCGAAAAGATAGAATCGCCGACAGAGAAGGAAGACGCGAACAAACAGAGCGACAAAGACAAGGAAAACGCGGAAAATGAAGACAAAATCAAGACAGAGGAAACCGAAGCCAAAGCAGAGAGCAGAGAACCAAGCAACGAAAAGGACAACAAGGAGACGAAGGAGACGGCCAACAACCCCCCGGCGAAGAAGGACGCGAGCCAGGAGACCTCGCCCAACGACCCTCCGAAAGCGGCCAACGAGCCCTCCAACGCCAACCCGCCGAAGGAAAAGGAGAAGGCCAAGGAGGAAGCCGAAGCGAAGGAGGCGAAGAAGGAAGCCGAGACCAAGAAGGAGAAGAAGGCGCCCGCGGCAGCCAAGAGACCGAGAGGGCGGCTGGCGAGACAGGCCCTGAAGAGAGCGCAGACGATGGACCTCTCCAAGAGGGCGCAGGCCGAGGGCGACAAGGAGGAGGGCGAGGCGGAGTCGCAGAACATCAAGGGCCTCGACCTCGAAACGGGGAAGAGCAATAAACCAGAAGAAACAGAGAATAAGGAGAGCGAAGCAGGGGCGAGTGGCGAGACGAAGGAGGAGGCGAAGGAGGACAAGAAAGAAAAGGAGGAGGAGAAGACAGAAGAGAAGAAGAAAGAAGAGGAGGCGAGAGGAGCCACAGCGGTCAAGGAGGACGAAGAAGAGGCCATGTTTGAACTTGATCCGGACGAGAAGGACAGGATCGCCACGGAGCTGATGATGGTAGCCTTTAATTTTATTTTTGAATTATTATTATTATTATTATTATTATTATTATTATTATTATTATTATTATTAAGTCGATAGTCCAATCACACGTTTATACATTTCTGTTCATTTGTGCATTTCTATTGATTTCTGCTAATCTATACCTTTCTGTTTATTTCTGTTGATTTAATTTCTGTTCATTTGTACATTTCTATCGATTTCTGCTAATTTATACATTTCTTTTTATTTCTGCTGATTTATACATTTCAGTTGTTCTTTTAAATTCATGTTAATTTCTGTGTATTTCTCTTAATTTATACTTTTCTGTTAATTCATACATTCCTGTTAGTTTATTCATTTCTATATATTTCTGTTAATTTACACATTTCTCCAAATGCACGAAGAAAAATCTTTAGGTTTTAGATGCCAAACCAATCTTAAACTCACTAATAAAATCTAAGAATGTGTGAATTTGATATAGTTTTTAGTCGCTGTGGTGTAAGCAGTCGCATAACTGTTACTAATCGTACAAATTGCTTATGAATGCAGGTAACTGTGAGGCAGTGAAATCATTTAAGATCTTCGTTGCTGACTTTCTTTATTGTTTTTTTTTTCTATGCTTACAATACATGACATCCTTTTTTCTCGTTTACAGTTTTATTCTTTATCGTCTTCTTTGTGTCTATCTCTGTTTCTCTCTCTCTCTCTCTCTCTCTCTCTCTCTCTCTCTCTCTCTCTCTCTCTCTCTCTCTCTTTCTCTCTCTATCTTTCTCTCTCTCTC